AGGAGAGATCTTCCACCTGGTCCATGGCCTTATCTAAACATGGAAGGAGTCAGTGGATTCAAAAGGCTTCCACAGCCTTGGCAGCTCAGGTCAAGAGCCTTGGGTGATCACTGATGTCACATGTAAGAGTGTTAATTGTTAAATTAACAACAGGAGTCACTGTGAATTAACTTCCCATGCAGGACCTCTCTCCTCCAACAGTTGGATTATGAGAGTTAACAGTAAAACTTGACTGCAGATTTATCCCATCTTAATGTATTAAGTGGAGGACATTATCTATGTCTCATAGCTATGGTAAATGTCCAAGTGCTCACAAAAGATGCACCATTTTTAGTTTATTCTCCAACGTTAACTCTCTCAAAAAAAGATAGATAGATAGATAGATGGATAGACGAATCAAACTTCAGAAAGGTTTACTTTTTTTGATTTTTTTTACTGATTTTATTACTTTTATTTATTTATTTTACTGTAGAAACAATCCTGTTGGTGTTCTATTGCACAGTAGGGTAATAACAGTTAACAATAACATATTGTACTTGTCTAAACAGCTAGAAGAAAAACTTCTGAATGTTCACACTACAAAGAAACCTTCAATATATGAAGTGATGGATGCTAATTATTCTAATATGATCATTAAAAAGTATGCATATGTGGAAATATTACATTGTACCCCATAAGAATGTAGTTACTATGTCAATAAATAAAAATAAATAAAAAATAAAAATACTGAATAGACTTCAAGAAATGAAGTTTTAGGTGTGGCTCTTAATACAATATAATATCTAGGTTTTTTAAAAATATGAAAACAATGTAAAGTTTTACTTTTTCATTAATGAATTTAGTCCATTTACATTTAATTGAATTAGTGTTAAATTTGGTTCCACTTGTCACTTTAATTTACTTTTTAGATTGTTCTACATTTTATTTCCATCTTTGCTAACTTAAAAAAATCATCTATAAACATTCATACGCATATTCTTGGAATTTGTGATACTGATGGTTAACTTGATTTCAGACAACAAGAAAATCAATGACCAAACACCAAAAGGACCTAAGCTTTTGGCTCCTTTCCCAGCAGGGCCTATGTGCTTAATGTTGCGCAATCAGCCGCGTCTCTCATGACAATGGCATGTGTTTGTGAGGGAGGTCTTAAATTTCTGCTCCAGGGGGACTGGAAAAGTTGTTTCCTTAGGTAAATTCAGAACATTTATGTAGCAACCAATCATACTGTCTAGCTTTTTGAAGAACTTAAAACAACATTTTCAGAGACACACATTATATTCTATGATAATGTTTAAAAGTTGGTTCATTTTGCAGAGATAATGCTATTCATTTACAAGCCTTTTAACTACGCATCTTGGAAAAGATTGGTAATAAAAGAAGAAAATATATTTTTTAAGATTTATTTATTTATTAGAAAGGCAGAGTTAGAGAAAGAGGTCTTCAACCCGCTGGTTCATTCCCCAAATGGCCCCAATGGCTGGCACTGGGCTGATCCAAAGCCAGGAGCCAGGAACTTCTTCCGGGACTCCCACATGTGCGCAGGGGCCAAGGACTCGGATCACTGCTGCTGTTTTTCCAGGCACATTAGCAGGGAGCTGGATCAGAAGTGAAGCAGCTGGGACTTGAACCGGCAATTATATGCAATGCCAGCAGTACAGGCAGCGCTGTGCCACAGCTCTGGCACCGAAAAAAATCTCCTTAATACAGGGCTAAAACATACAGCCAGTAAAAAGAAGTTTCTCTATGACATCAGCAATCTTACATCACAAAAAGGTAGTAATGTGGGATGTTTGTACGAATTACTTGGATTTATTAGGTCAGCCCAGAGTGATAACCTATCACAATTAAAAAAAATAAAAAACAGGAATCCAAGTATCAACTGCTGGATGACGAACAGCAGTCTCCCCTTCTGTTGTTTCCAACTGCAGAGAGCGGTGATGGCTTTGATTTACTGAAGACAGTTCGCAGACATGGATTAATAGAGGTTGAGCAGCAGCCCAACCACGCCACCACCCAAGGCAGCTTTTCCATCAGACTGCTGGGAGCGCGTGTGCCTGGCACAGACATCCTCGGTGACGAACGCTGTGCAATAATGCATGCACTGTTGCGGATCCATTCTTGAAATGAAGGAAACTGTTAAAGTATCACTTCGCTTTTGCCAAATGTTTCATGACTTTGTGACAGTGAAAGGCAAGCTGTGTAACAAGGACCACCTGTTGTTTCCTCTAAAACGAAGAACTTTTCTCTGAACTGTTTCCAGGACAGCTTTTCCAGGTGCATGGAGCCAGTGACTCGGCGACAGTGTGTGGTGTCCTTTTTACTCGGGTAGGATCTGACTCCGACATTATTAAGAGCAACCAAACCTCTCCCAAACGCCAGCATTCATTGACAACAGCTGCTCCACTGGTTTTAAGGCTTGAGGACTCAGCAGAATTATTTAACATTTTGAATCAGCTCAGAAGACAGTGGTAGCTTTAGTCAAAGTCAGCAGGCACAGGCATGTGGGATTCTGGGTGCTGCCAGCTGTGCCACGGCCCGCACAGCACCCGCACCTCCAGGTCTTGTTCTGAGCATGCTTTCCGCTAAACACTCAACAGAGAAGCATGAGGGGTGCGACGGTGCTGGCGGTCACTGCGCAGCTGCCGCATGGAGATGCAGGAGCTGCCCGCCCCCCAGGAGAAAACCAGGCGGGGGTGGCGCTGTTGGGCTGCGTGAGCCTCTCGGATGGTAGTAAAACCTGAGCTCTTCTGGAAATACTATGAATACACGCATTTTTGCCAAAAGGGAAAATAGTTTCTTGTCTTAGAACATGACCACATGGTAGAGCCATCTGGACTCAGTCAGGGGCTTGAGCTTTCTGGCTTCACCATCCATAACTTCTTTGGCCAGTTACCGGCCTCCATGCCGTGGGCTTTTCTCTTCTGTTAACCAGGAAAGACAACATTTTCAGAACAGGGTTTCTACGTGGACTGCGCACTCACCCAGGGAGAAGCTACCTGTTTACTCGGCATAAGTGCAAGCTCCCCTCCTTTTCTTTGAGCCATGACTTAAAGCGCTCTTGCGACATGTCTCACTCCACCCTGGGCCTCTACGTAGGGGAACAAGACCTGCGCTTTAAGAGGACCCCAGCATTTGAGAGACCCTTTGGGCAAACTCAAGAGAAGTCTCCACTTCACAGCAGACACAGAGCTGCTACCTGAAGGCCTGAGACTTGTCTTTGGCGAGGAGCCCCTGCTGGCGTTTCAGGCAGGTCAGCTGTGGGCCAGGTGCTATGAGGTGGCAGTACTGCAACATACTTCAGGCACTCTGAACACAGGCAGTGGCAACTGCCGCACGCAGACAGCATGGAAGCACCTTGCACAAACAGTGGGGCCTGGCGCTCACAGTCACCCGAGCAGAGATCACCGCCGTCTGTGTTACCGATGAGGAAGCCGCTGCCTGGAGTGAGGGTCACGCCTGTGTGGTCGGACTCCAGAGCCGGCGCTCTGCACCACGGCCTCCACGCTCTTCATGGTCAGAGGTTCTCCACAACTGCCGCTCTACTTGAGAGCCCAGGGATGGGCAGAGGGGTGCCTCCTCCTCTTCTCTCCACGGAGGGGCTCGTCAGTCAGGCTGCATTCTTACATCTACCTGCCCAGTACAGCCGCACAGAGTGCTGCTTTCATCCAGGGCAGGCTTCTCCTCCGTGGTGACAACTTTTGGAGATCCTCCGCTTATTAACAGCCTCTGCCAATAACATGTTCCCTGCAGGTTTCTTTTTTAAAGATTTATTTATTTATTTATTTGAAAGTCAGAGTTACACAGAGAGAAGGAGAGGCAGACAGAGAGAGAGAGAGAGGTCCTCCATCTGCTGGTTCACTCCCCAGTTGGCCGCAACATCTGGAGCTGCACTGATCCGAAGCCAGGAGCCAGGAGCTTCCTCTGGGTCTTCCCACAAGGGTGCAGGGCCCAAGGACTTGGGCCATTTTGTACTGCTTTCCCAGGTCACAGCAGAGAGCTGGATCGAAAGTGGAGCAGCCAGGACTTGAACCGGCGCCCATACAGGATGCCAGCACTGCAGGCTGCGGCTTCAGCCACCACGCCACAGTGCTGGCCCTTCCCTGCAGTTTTAGGTCACTTGATTATTCTGTATTGTTCAAGCACAGGAAGCTCACAGCTTATTTAAGCAACAAGATGGAAGAGGTGAGGACAAAAACCCTGTCTCTTAGAAATGTTCAGAGAGGCAGTCACAGGGAAGTCATTATGGGAGAGTCAAGGAGTCCCAGAAATTGATCATCAAATATCCCCTAAAGATTTGGGTTCCATCGAGTCCCCGTGATGGGAGCTGGATCCTCACACGGGGAGCTCGGGCAGGCAAGGAGAGCGCCACATGGCCCAGCCTCACCGTGGACGGGGAGCTGCACGCTAAGCAGGACCAATCCCACATCAGTTGCAGAGACAGCACAGCTCAGCAGGCTGTCCTCCGAGCAACCGCTTTCCTCACCTCGTGACAGAGTGTGTCAGAGAGGAAGAGCTGAGCTATGACAACAGGTGGCCCTGCTAATTGGAAACCGACAGGACAGAATGTGAGAAACTCTTTGCTTGGCGAGTAGCTGGTGAGAAGCAATCACGCAGTGCTCTCTGCGCGCCAAAGATAAAGATCACAAGACAGGGAAACACCTTTGAAAAGGAAACACAATGCGCAGGCCAGAAGCACTCCAGAGGATGCAAACCTCACCCGCAGTAGCAGCACCGAACGGCAAACTCACTGCACAGCCGGCGGGAAACTGCACAGCTCTGGCTACGGCAGCCAGCGGCAGCCAGCTCGGCCGGGGAGGGGCAGGTCTGAGCTGCGCCCCTTCTTCTCATGTAGTGACATGTTCAAGGGCAATGAAAGCAAGGCTCGAATTTTCCTGATTGTTAGCCCACTTCATCCAGCGAAGGGTTTTCCAGTGCTAACACCTCGGCTCCAGCACACCTGTCCAGCGGTCTGGGTACAAGGTGTGCCGCCCACTCACCTGAGCGCCGCGGTCGTTGACCAGCTCCACGGACCACCTGCCTTCGTACTGAATCCACACGAAGATCCCTCCGTCTGCATCACACGTGGCCAGTTTCTGGTACGGCTCATTCCACCTCACCAGCACAACCTAGAAGAGCACCAAGATGTTTACCACGGGGAAGAGGCCAGGGAGTCCTGGATTACTTCTCTGCAATGATCACTCTTCAGAAGTAAATGCAATGCAGTTAGGCAAATGCAAACATTGGGGGAGCGCAGGGGGTACAGTGGGGGGGATCGGGTGAGCCCACACCTGAGAGGCTCCTGCGGAACCTGACCCACAGCAGACACCTGAGCAGACAATACCCAACTGCTGTGAAAAGTGAAGAGAGGACGCGGCTGTCCCCAGGCCTGCCTGTCCCAGGTGTGCAATGCCCCTCAGCTCCTGCCCCTGTGCTGCGAGGAACCTATTCCCGCAAAATCGATGACCTGTTGCAATCAGGCTATTGTATATTTCATTCTTTCTCCCAAAGTGAAACTTCCTATCTCCCTCCTGGAACTACCTTATTTCTACATGGAAATATACTTTTGGGAATGTACTTTGGAAAAAGGACACAGCTGGAAGATCTAACTCGTTGAGGATTTGTCACAGAGGGCATACAAAGGAATTCTAAGCTTCAAAATTCATGAGTACAAGAACTTCATTCTCCAACTTTGAAAGTCCTGAATCCAGACCAACGGCCTTTTTCTTTGTCACTCTTTCCTCTGGCAGTGTGGTTTGCAACAAGAGGTCCCAGAGTCCGAGCGCAGCTCCCAGGAGGCCCAGCAGGAGCTGCAGGCGTTCTGGAACAGTCCCAGGAGACCACAAGCCACAAAATCAATACTGCATGGTTCACCGAGGTCACTGTTCCCTGGCGCTGCCCCCGCCTGGCCTCTCCTGGTGACGGTGATTACGGAATTCAGTTGCCATCTGCATGTGTTTATTACGCTCATGTAGGTGACTAACGTGGAGCTGGCGGACACAAAACACTGTCAGCTCAGGTAAGGTAGGAGCGTCAGACGTCTGCAGCCCCGTGGACACACACTTACAGGTGTCGGCGTAGAGACAACTCTGCGTCCCTGTGTGCCTCCAGTACTTTTGTGCCTAATAACTAATCGTAACCAGAGTGAACATGTGTAAGTGGTTTCCAAGTGCCGGCTCACACTCCCCAACAAAAGTGAGTCCAAGACTGGTGGGCGAGGGCCTCCACAATGCCCCATCCCACTTCACAGCCAGCTGTCCAAAGCATATTTCCTGCCTCAGACAACTCAAAGCCCATCACCTCTCAAAGTTACACAATGGACACACCAGATCTGAGGTCTTTAAATTTGCCTCCAGGGCACCAGAGAGCTAGAGACCCCTAGGAAGTTTGTTTTAGCCTTCTCCTTTAGCCAGCCTTGGTTCATCACACTTGGTATCAGTACAAGTAAGATACATAATAAACTCTTTAAATTCTCCAAGGAGAAATGATTACCCACTTAAAATGTGAAGAGTGCCACAGCACTTTTTAAAAACTCCAAAAGGGGCCAGGGCTGTGGTTATTCCTCCACCTGAGGTGCCACCATCCGCCATTCCCAGACCTGGCTGCTCCCACTTCCAATCCAGCTCTCTGCTACAGACTGGGAGAGCAGAAGATGGCCCAAGTCCTTGGGACCCTGCACCTGTGTGGGAAACCTGGAAGAAGCTCCTGGCTTCAGATGAGCTCAGCTCTGGCCATTGCAGCCATTCAGGGAGTAAACCAGTGGATGGAAAACCTTTCTGTCTCTCCCTCTCACTGTCTGTAACTCTACCTCTCAAAAATAAATAAATAAATAAATAAAATCTTAAAAAAAAAAAAGGAAAAGAAAAAAAACTGTGCAAAAATCAAGGTAAGAGTCCAGCTCTCTGCTGTGGCCCGGGAAGGCAGTGGAGGATGGCCTGAGTGCTTGGGCCCCTGCACCTGCATGGGAGACCAGGAGGAAGCACCTGGCTCCTGGCTTCGGATTGGCACAATGCTGGCTGTGGCGGCCACTTGGGGAGTGAACCAATGAAGGAAGACCTTTCTCTCTGTCTCTCTCTCTGTCTAACTCTACCTGTCAAAAAAAAAAAAAAAAAAAAAAAAAATCAGGGGAAGCTGTGAGACCAGGCAGTTATTTAATTCTAGTCGGAGGCAGTGCACCATGCTAAACTCAACTTGCAAGGATGCAGACATGAACTCTGACTATGGCCCTCAGATGAGTCCCCCTCTCTTGCTCTGGTCCACTTCTACGCAGCAGCACTGAAACAGCCCTCTTTAATGGTCTGCTTGCGACTCACCCCTCACAGATCTGAGGACAGGGACGGGGTTGCTCATCTTCAAATGCTGACACAATTGTGACGATACTGAGCCAAATGAACATGTATCATCAGAAATTACAACCCTTGCTAAGTTACATCTTTGTATTATTCAAGGTACTGAAAACTACTTCAAGCAGCTTATTTTCCACTCCTGAAGGCATTACAACAGCAGCACACACTAACTGCCTGCCTGTCAAGAACCAGAACTCGCCAGGTGCTGAGGTCACACATCCAAGTCTCTTCGTCCCTCTAGAGTTCAGTTTGCTGAGCAGAAACAACACAGTGTGCGCTACACAACGACACCATGACAGAGCTGTGGCTATATACAACAGGGGGCTCCAACACGCGGACACGGGGACAACAAACTGACTCTTTAAATCCTCCTTTAAGGGACAGACATCCGAGGCTACAGTTAAGACCTGCTTGGGACGCAGGCAGGTTTGAGTACTGACTCTGCTTCTGCTTCTAGCTTCCTGCTGATGTACACTCTGACAAGCAGCGGGGATGGGTCAATAACTGGGTCTCTGCCATGCAGGTGGGAGATCCGGACTGAATTTCTGACTCCTTGCCTAGGCCTGTCTCAACCCCAGGCCGTTGTGGGCACTTGGGGAGTGAATCAGCAGATGGGAGATATCTTTCTCTTTCTGCCTTTCAAAAATATTAATAGATATTTAAAATTCAAACCAATAATAATGGAATTCTTTAACTGACAATGTTATAAGACTTAGAATTTCAAAATGGTCAATAAAAGCCAACTGCATAGACTTTCAGAACCAACGATGAATTTTTCCAAACAGTTAAGATCTTCAAATGTAAGATCTTCATTTGGCTACAATTTGGCTCCTACAGACGCACATTAATCATTTACCTGCAATCAGCCGTGTACTTCAGAATGGTTACCACAGAATGGAGCATGACAGACAAGAACATAACATTCATGACTGAGTAGTTTCAGAATTATGTCCTCATGTTAGCATCGTGACTCTTTGTCTACAGAGCAGTAAAGTGCTTCCGGACAAGGTGCCGAGTGTCAGAGGACACAGGGTGCTCTCAGTAACTCTGTTTACACCTTTACACCCACTGCTGTGGGCGGCACAGACAGCAAACATCTGCACCAGCTACCTGCAAACAGCCAGCACCGTCCATCACAGCATGCCCAAACACTACAGAACACAGCAAGAACACATCTTACAGGTATTCCTTATGTTAAATGACATATTCTTGGTCCTAGGATCACACAGGTGCCACTGCTAGATAGGCAGGAAGTTCAGACACCCAACTTCAGCTTTTGGAAATCCCGCACCAGCTGAGATGCGGCAGTGAGTGGAGATGCGCCCCCAGCCACACCTCTCTCTGCTAGACAGCTGGCCAGCGTAACTGATCAGGGCAGCTCTCCTACACACAGACATCTTCCCAGTGCCTGCTGGTTCAAAAACAAAGTCAAACCACTCATGTTTGCCTGGATTGGGGTCTCATTTCCTCTCCCGTCTGCACACCACAGCTGCACGCCGTATCTCCCAGCAGCTCACTTCCTGCTCTCTAAGCCTGTGCAGCCCATCTGGCAGTGTGGGGACATACCACAGTGCTGAGGAGCTACCAGCCAGGGGCCAACAGGGACCGCAGCTGCCCAGTTCTGAGGCTGGGTGCTACGGACCTGCCCAGGCATCCTGCAGTTTTCTTTCCCTTTTAAAGGAAAATGGGGCTCCAGTTTACTCTGGACACCAAAGAACTTGAGAGATAGGGTGTACTGAATAAGTTAGATTTTGACCCTAGACCTTTGATGATTAAAAAAAAAATACCAGCCTGATATTAATAAGAAATGTTTTGTCATTTCATGTTATTGTTACCAATAAACAATTATTGAGGGACATTAAAGGCAGGGAAATATGTAGTAACAGCAGAGGAAGACAATTTAGGTTGTAATCTAAAGCCCTAAATAAGTCACTTCACTTCCCACCCGGAAGTGCTTTTAGGGAGAGTGAAACAAGTGTTGTCCATCTCAAACATGCTCTACATCTGAGGCAGACAGCCTCAACAGTGTCAGTATTTACTCAGCCCCTCAGTAGCCAGCCAGTACTCCCCGCCACAGCCACAGGCAGCCCAGGGACGCATCGATGGCTCTTTCCGCACTTGCCAAAGTGGGTCATGGTAGTGCACCTCTCCCTGAGTTAGGAGAAACATAATGACCCAACAATAGTGCCAGGCACACGGCAAACAGGCAACACCTGAGAACTCTGTGGCACTAATTCTGGGAACTAAAATTCTAGAAGATAGAGTGGTTCAGCTCAGGAGTTATGTGTAGGCTTCCTTTTCTTTAATATTACATGGACACAAAGTTAAGTGCCACATGCACCCTCTATCCAACTCTGCCCCTCAAAGACCACTGCCCCACATATGCCAGGCCGCCTTTGACCTGGAACGCCCTTCTATGCTTTGACACCTGGTGGAGAACACCCTCCCTGACCTTCCAAACACCGCTCCCTGCAACAACTGTGTCACCTTCAATCTGCTGCACGTGCTCGCTCAAATGCTCCTCCCCAGACCAAGAACACCTGGCTTTTGTTCTCAGTGCCTACAAGGTACATATTAACAAATCGCCCCAAACTGAACTCTTCCTGAAGGACGACTAGCCCATATTTCTGTAAAATTTTATTATTCTTCCTTATTTTTAAGATTTATTTATTTATTTGAAAGTCAGGGTTACACAGATGGAGGAGAGGCAGAGAGAGAGAGAGAGAGAGAGAGAGAGAGAGAGAGAGAGAAAATGAGAGAGAGAGAGGTCTTCCATCCGATGGTTCACTCCCCAATTGGCCACAACAGCCGGAGCTGTACTGATCCAAAGCCAGGAGCCAAGAGCTTCTTCCAGGTTTCCCACACGGGTGCAGGGGCCCAATTCCCAGGCCATAGCAGAGAGCTGGATCGGAAGAGGAGCAGCTGGGTCTCGAACTGGCGCCCATATGGGATGCCAGCGCTTCAGGCCAGGGCATTAACCTACTGTGCCACAGCAACGGCCCCGATTCTCTCTTTCAACATTAAGATGTCAGAAGTGATTCAAACAAGATTAGGGGTGGGGTAGGGATGGGTTAACAGCTTCATTGAAACAAAATTCACAGAGCATACAATTCATCCGTTCAAGGTGTACAGTTCGATGGTTTTTAGAATATTCACAGAGTTGTACAATCATCACCGTATATTCACACCATTCCATCATCCGTGTTCCAGCAGCTAACATCATCTAATCCCGAAGGACTGCCCGAGCCTCAGCCCTAGGCGATCACAAGCTTCCCTTCTGTCTCTACACATCTGGCGCTTCTGGATATTGTGTTTAAATGGAACCATACAAGGCATGGGCCTTCATAACTGGCTTCCTTGACTCAGCCAAACAGTTTCAAGGATCATGTCTGTTGCAGAATGTATCAGGATTCGCTCCCTTTTGTGGTAAAATGACATTCTATTGTATGAATGCACAGTACTCTACAGATCCATTCATCAGCTGATAAACACTTGGGTTGGTCTCACAGTTTGACTATTATGAATAACACTGCTGTAAATATTTGTATACAAGTTTTTTTTTAAATAAAGATGCATGTTTTCATTTCTTTTGGCTGGTTGGAATCATAATTCTATGATTAACCTTTCAAGGACCTGTCTGATTGTTTTCCAAAGCGATGTACCAATTCACATTCTCACCAATGAGTGAGGGTTCCAACTTCTCCACACTGGCGTTGCCTTGATGGCTACTGATGTTAAGCATCTGTTCATGTGTCTGGTGGCCAGCTGCAAACCCTTTTTGGAAAAATACCTATTCAGAGCCTTTGTCTATTTTCATCTGGGATGGCATTCTTTTTTAAATACTTGTTTGTTTATTTGAAAGAGTGACAGAAAGAAAGCTATCTTCTGGTTCACTCCTCCAAAGCCCAAAACAGCCATGGCTGGGTCAGGCTGAGCCAGGTGCTAGGAACCCCACCCAGGTGGGGCAGGAACTCATCTGCTGTCTCCAGGGTATATCAGCAGGAACTTGAACTGGCACCTCCGATATGGGTTGTGGACGTCCTAGGCAGCAGCTGAACCCGGTGTGCCGCAATGCCTGTCCTGGGCTGGTTCTTTTACTATTGAGTTGTAGAAGGTTCTCTTCTTAAGCTCTCTGAAAAACTGGCTGTATTTGAGAAAAACTTTAGATTTTATTCCAAGTAACCCAATTTATTTCTCTCACTTAAATATTCATAAATCCAGTCCTTATCCATTCACTCATTTCATTCACTTTATTGAATGAAATAGTCCAAAGACAATAAAGGAATTCAGAAAATGTAGGTGTATGGTCAGAGCCCCGGAATCCAAGGACCAGGAGCCTCCAAATGCTGGTTCTGAAACTTAACATGCTGGGGGTGACTCTTCCTAGAAACTGCACAGCCAAACATTCCTCCTTGATACTCCAAATCCTCCTTTTAAACATAGACTAGTTGGCCGGCACCATGGCTCACTTGGCTAATCCTCTGCCTGCGGCGCCGGCACACCAGGTTCTAGTCCCGGTTGGGGCACCGGATTCTGTCCCAGTTGCTCCTCTTCCAGGCCAGCTCTCTGCTGTGGCCCGGGAGTGCAGTGGAAGATGGTCCAAGTGCTTGGGCCCTGCACCCCATGGGAGACGAGGAGGAAGCCCCTGGCTCCTGGCTTCAGATCAGCGCAGCGCGCAGGCCGTAGCATCCACTTAGGGGGTGAACCAATGGAAGGAAGACCTTTCTTGCTGTCTCTCTCTCTCACTGTCTAACTCTGCCTGTCAAATACACACACACACACACACACACACACACACAGAGGTGTTCCATCCACTGGTTCACTCCCCAGATGGCTACAATGGTCAAGGCTGGACCAGGCTGAAGCCAGGAGCTAGGAAGCTTCATCTGGATCTCCTGCATGGGTGGCAGGGGCCCAAATACTACAGCATCTTCCGCTGCTTTCCCGGGCATATCAGCAGGGAGCCGGATTGGAAATGGAGCAGTCTGGACTCAAACTGGCACTCATACAAGTTTAATCCACTGTGTCACAATGAAGGCCTCCTAAACCTTCTTGTGGGAAAATGATACATCCTGTTACAGATAAGCTTATATATCACCACATCTCCCGAAATAATGTGAAGCTCCCATTTCTGGCCTTTTCATTGTGAAGGGACAGCAGGATTCCTCCATGAAAGCAGCATATAAAACGTGCTGAGAAGTCACAGTCAGCAGGGGCCCAGCAGCTCAGACCTGCGTCTCAAGCACAGTCAGTGGCCCATCTGCCTCAAAGGCCAACGCAACGATATCCCTGGGTCCAACTTCCACTCTTTCCCACTCGGCCTTGGCTGCTGCCTCCCGAGTGAGTCTCACTGGAAGGGATGCTTCCTCACAGGCACCAGGCACCGAGGTGCAGAGCACCTGACCACCAGCTGGCATGGTTTCTCATCCTCACGTTCCCCGGACTCTCCAAAACCCGTGGTGTAAACAGCAGCTCACAGCTTTAGCCAACCCAGAGCTAAAGCGGCCTCCCTCTGGGGAGGAATCAGAGTCTCACGCAGCTAACGGTCTTCACCCGGCAGCTGCAACACAACTAGCACGAGGCCATCAGGAAGGACAGCCATGTCCTGGAGAGCAGACACCGCAGTCAGGGCTCCACGGGAAGGGGGCTAGTACTCGCTGACCAACTTAGGTAAATTCTCCAGATCCCGGAGATCTTCCTCGGGGTCCTTTTCATCAACTCGCTATGGCTGGAAAATGAAGCTCGCAGGGTCAGGGTGCCTGGAGAGCTCCTGAAACAGGAGGCAATGCCAAGCCACAGAAAGGCAGCTGCAGCCAACAGCACCCAAACAGCCAAATCTGGCGTGAAGATGGGGCCTGGGGCTGCTCCAACATCAATCTTGAGTTGAGCCTTGAAGTTAGCTCAGGACTTCTTCTGATGCCACTTCCTCTGTGAAAATGTCTGACTCTCATGGGCAGAACTGACTCCTGCTTCGTGCTCCCTAAGCCCACTGGCTGCCCTGCACAAGTGCATGGCAGAGTTCCTGAGCAGAGGATGTGGCGCCTCCTCTCTGACAGCCAACAGGTTCATAAGGGTGACTGGCCCAAACCAGGCCCAAGAAGGCCATTCCAGGTGGAACGAGCTTCGGATAAGGAGCTGAGTGTCATCTGAGGAGGCGACAGTAACGGTCTGGACGAAGGGGGAGGTTCCATTCTCTGGAGAGGAGTGACAGCTAATATTTACTCAAGCCCTTTCTTCACTCTCCCATGAACTCTCTTCACTGGACGTCTGCAGCCAGACTGCCTAAAAGCCCGGCCAGGGCAGGGGATTCTTGGACGTGACAGTTTCCTGGAGTTGCCCCTGAGAGCACTCAGGCAGTAAGAGAATTAGAGCAGGGCTGGGGCATCATGGGAGAGGTGTGTCCATGGAGACCAGCTCACTCAGTGTGACTCCTTGTGACTCAGCCATTGGCTGCCAGCTGCTCACCAGCCACAGCAGCTGGGGGATGGAGCAGTGTCTACAACCTGGGCTTCCGACACTCCTTCTCAGCCTCCACTCTTCTAGGTCTTCCTCTTCCAGCGCTCTGAGGGTCAGAGAGCTCCAGAGCTCTGTGTGACCCTTCTCTCTACAGTCCACACTGATCTCCTAGCTTCCTCTCTACATCCAAAATGGAAACATCTACTCAACACTGGTAACTTCAACTTGTAATCGTCACGCACCTAAGTCCACAGCCAATCAGGTGTCTCCACTCAGCATGTCCAACTGGATGTCTAACAGACAACTCAGACCTCACATGTGCCTAGGTTTTCTCTTGATTTATTTTTCCCCAGAGGCTGCTCCTCCCCCAGCGACCGCTCTGTGTTCAGAGTTCCAGGCAGCTCCCCTGGACTGCGAGCAGACTACTCACCCTGCCCCTAGGCCCATCACTGTGGGGCACCCGGCCCCTAGGCCCCTCACTGTGGGGCACCCTGCCCCTGGGCCCATCACTGTGGGGCACCCGGCCGGGCAGAGACCTGGCGTAATCCCCACTTGAAGGCCAATGCTCCATGAAATCCTGGTACAGCCTCTACATTTTTTTAAAGATTTGTTTTATTTTTAAAAAATATTTATTATTTATTTATTTGAAAGGCAGAGATACAGAGAGGAGAGAGGCAGAGAGAGAGAGAGAGAGAGAGAGAGAGAGAGAGAGGTCTTCCATTCGCTGGTTCACTCCCTAAATGGCTGCAAGTGACTTCTCCTGTGTGCCGCGCTCCAGACCCTCCTGGCTAGCCCTAGCAAAGAAGTGAATTTGTTGGATTCATGCACGGTCATGGGAAACCTAGGATGGATTGCTTTTCCCAAAAATGGCTGGGAAGAGATTGGTGAAGTGGATGAAAACTATGCCCCTATCCACACATACCAAGCATGCAAAGTTATAGAACAGAATCATAACAACTGGCTTTTGACCAGCTGGATCTCCAATGAAGGTGCTTCCAGAATCTTCATAGAGCTCAAGTTCACCTTGTGGGACTGCAACAGCCTTCCCGGAGGACTGGGACCCTGCAAAGAAACTTTCAACATGTACTACTTTGAGTCTGATGCTGAAAACGGGAGAAGCATCAAGGGAAACCAGTACATAAAAATCGATACCCTTGCTGCTGACGAGAGCTTTACGGAACTCGACCTCGGTGACCGTGTCATGAAGCTGAATGCAGAGGTCAGAGACGTGGGGCCTCTGACCAGAAAGGGCTTCTATCTTGCTTTCCAAGACGCTGGCGCCTGCATTGCCCTGGTTTCTGTGCGTGTGCACTATCAGAAATGCCCTTCCGTGGTGCGACACTTGGCCGTCTTCCCCGACACCATCACCGGAGCAGATTCTTCGCAGCTGCGGGAAGTGTCAGGCTCCCGTGTCAACCATTCTGTGACACATGAGCCTCCCAAAATGCGCTGCAGTGCGGAGGGGAAATGCATGTGCAAGGCAGGATATGAGGAGGAGAACGGCACCTGCCAAGGTTGACAGGTGCAGAAGGGGCTCTGAGTTCTGGGGGACCGATTTTGATTGCTGGGTATGATTAGAACATTCTGCTGGTACTGAAGAACTACGCTGTGGAGACAGTGTTCTGATGCCATGTTTCTCAGTGCAAGCGTTAACACACATCTTCTTCCTCCCCTTACACTTCAGTAACAGGAGGAGGGGCTGAATTGTGAGACAGCGAGATGAACTGCAGAGTGAGCAGTGCGGACCACGTCACTAAATGACTGAATTCCCGCATTTGTCCAACCCTGGGGACAGCAATCTTGGCTGTGGGTGTGAGGCAGTCTATAGACCACACTGGGCTGAGAGTGTGGTATACAGTGGAGTCTGTGAGTATACACTGGAGTCTATGAGTCTATGAGTCACGACTCATGGTGTTTTACAGCACACACCTGATGTGTGCCATTGCAGAAGGAACAATGTTTGTTCTATAAATAACAACATATTGATTGAATAACTCATTGAATGAACAAGTACCTGTTGAGTATTTGCTTTGGAGAATTAAAACATCACAAGTACTCTTGTGGTCTTTATGGCTATATACAATATGTGTATGAAAATGTGTGTGTATGTGGGGGGGGGGGGAGCAGGTGTATAAGGTAAAATGCCACTATGGCTCTGACTCACTCTATGACGTTAACACAGCACCCTCAGACGTTTAAATGTGGATCGCTGATGTTTTGGAACTAAGCTTTCTGTCTGATAGGCCAGAAATCTCAGAATCGTCCCTGACATCTGCTTCCTACACATTCAGTTTTAATCCTTTATAAAGTAGTTATAGAAAGTACCACCCAACTCTTTAAATCACCCACTTCTGTTTGCTTTCTCCATCAGTTTAAGAGCCCGCCTTGTTAGAATCTTGTTTTTTCAAATATAATAAAAAACCAGTCGTTTTGATTTTTGAGCCAGAGGAATGCAACTCTTATTGTAAACACTCATTTCCTTTCTTGCCACATATGCCCTCTGCCCTATACGGATTCACGTTATTATACACATCAGTGGTTTTCTTTAAGCCAGCGTTTTTATAATCGTCTTAAGTCCCTGCATGGTTTTGCCCTGGTCACCTCCGCAGACTCTTCGTAAACTATGCTACTGCCCCTACCCTGTGCACCACCCACACTAGCTCTTTCAGCTTCTCAAAGGCAGTTTGCTCACTTACTGTTTGTTCTTTTGTGACTCTATTTTCTCCTTCTGGGGTTTTCCTCTCCTTCATTTATGTTTGGTCAGTGCGTGTGGATCCTCCTCGTCTGTGCTCCAGTATCCCCTATTCACAGAAAGCTGTCTCTGTGTTCCAGACAAGATCCAGCCTAACTGTATGTATTCTCTTATTCTTTCCGGCACAGAATTCTTTGGACTTAATGCTTTTGCAAATGTTTGTTGATCTACTACTTCATTAATGACTCTTCCCACCCTGGTTGTACTGCCTGCCCATTGATGGCAAAGGTGATGTTTGTTAACTTCAGGAATAAGAAAGAAACCAAATGACTAGGGGAAGGAAGTGAATTCCAAAGAGAGGAGAGGGCATGTGCAAAGTCATAAAAGAACCCTGTGTTTTGTGTGTGTGTGTGTGTGTGTGTGTGTTTTTTTTTTTTGACAGGCAGAGTGGACAGTGAGAGAGAGAGACAGAGAGAAAGGTCTTCCTTTTGCCATTGGTTCACCCTCCAATGGCCGCTGTGGCCAGCGCACCGCACTGATCCGAAGCCAGGAGCCAGGTACTTCTCCTGGTCTCCCTTGGGATACAGGGCCCAAGGACCTGGGCCATGCTCCACTGTACTCCCAGGCCACAGCAGAGAGCTTGCCTGGAAGAGGGGCAACTGGGACAGAATCCGGTGCCCCGAGCAGGACTAGAACCCGGTGTGCCGGTGCCACAGGCGGAGGATTAGCCTAGTGAGCGCAGTGCTGGCCGAACCCTGTGTTTTAAAATACTGCCTTTTCACATGTGTATTGCCGTGTAATTCTCCTCGGTCCTTCTGAAAACTGACAAACCTGTCTTAAATTGAACCTTCCTTACTCCTATGCCGGTCGGACCAAATTCTGAAGTCCAGGGTAGTAACTCACATGTGATTGACACTTGCTATATTAACTATGAGAGAGGCCATCTTAGTGAATTTCGTAAATATCAAAATATATTTATAGCATGACCTTATTGTGTAGTGACATTTGATTACTTGGTTTCTTTGATAACCAAACTGTTAGGATTTAACTGGCAACATATTATGCTGAAGTTTGAATGTATCTGTTGTAACGATTATCATAGTGTATTGATATTTACTGCAGCTGTGCTGGAACATGTCCCAGCACTGTCATGCCCATGACCTGTTATATGTGTGGAGCCTGATGGAGGGGACCGAATGTCCTTTAGAGGCTACATCTCTAGTGTTCAGAATGCTGGCTGGCTCCTGAACACATGACCTGACTCCAGAAAATCACAGAGCCATGACTGAGGGGTCCTGGTCAGTTGAACAGTTCATGATCTGTTGTCTTCATATAACTTCCTTGAAGAAAAGTAGCATTCCTTACCTCTAATAATCTGATTTTGCTGAGATAACAAAGTATTCTTGTTTCTGTTGTATTAACTTAGTATAGTGCACATTTATTTTTGTTAGTCTTACTCATATGACTAAATTTCCAATAATAAACTGCTTAAGTACACACATTTATTTCTTTGAAATGTTCTTTACGTTTAGAAACAAATAACATCACAAACCTATTTATCTAAGTATGTTTCCCTACTTGTTATTTATTATTATTTCTAATGAAATTCATGCTATTTTTCTTCCCTTAAGAGACACAGGCAGAATATTTTTTGAGTACAAAATGGTTAGCAACACCCCCCCCCCAAAAAAAAAAAAAAAAGAAAGAAAGAAAGAAACTAGGATCTGCAGTGGTGCAGCAACAGCAGGTTAAAGCCCCGGCCTGCAGCGCCAGCAGGTTAGAGATCTGGCTGCTCCACTTCTGATCCAGCTCTCTGCTGTGGCCTAGGAAAGCAGTGGAAGATGCCCAAGTGCTTGGGCCCCTGCACCCATGTGGGAGACCTGGAATAAGCTCCTGGCTCCTGGCTTCAGATTGGCTCAGCTCCAGCCATTGCAGCCATTTGGGAAGTGAATTAGTGGATGGAAGACCTCTCTCTCTCTCTCCCTCTCTCCCTCTCTCTTCCTCTCTTTCTAACCCTCTCAAAGAGATAAAATAAATCTTTATAAAAAAGAAAAGAAACAAGGATCTAGGCTAGGCCTTTGGCATTACAGTTAAGATGCTGCTTGGGGTGCCTGCATCTTCTATCAGTGCCAGAGTTTGAGTCTCACATCTGTTCCCAATCCCAGCTTTGTGCTAATGTACACCTGGAGAGGTGGCAGGTGATGGCTCAAAGAGCTGGGTCCCTGATACTCATGTGGGAGACTGGATTGAGTCCCAGCTTCTAGCTTTGTCCAGGCCCAGACCTGACTGTTGCATGCATCTGGGAAGCAAAGCACCAGATGGGAAATCTCTGTCTTTCAAATAAATAAATTATTAGAAATAAAGAAACGAAAACTGGGTACTAGGTATACTCACTGCTACTGGGTGGATGAACTGCTTCTGACATAAAACATTAACATGACAGAAGAAGAGACGGGGCAGTTTCTCACATCGGAAGGTAAAGCAGGCATCAACCCAATCGGAAGCATTCATGTAAGGCACTGAGAGAAGTGTGCTACAATCTATCAACTGGACACCAAAGTCCATAGGTCCATGGCGATGATAAAAAACAAAAATCTTCCCTAACCTTTGAACAATGGTATAGAACCAACTATTCCCCTGCAAATGGGTGAGCCAACGGGAAAACAGAGTCCGCATTTACCCTGCCAACTTGCCGACAGTGCCACATCATAACCGAACCGTTGAAGAGGCACAGGTTTTCTCTGTCTGAGTATTCTAGTTAATAATGAAGGAGTGATGAAACTAGGCTATTACCATTTGCGACTCCTAATGAAACACCAGCTTTTGGCAAAGACTGTCAATGGATGCTGAAATCAGTCGGACAACTGATGAGAATGTAGCATGAATGGATTAAACTGACACACTCTAACTTACTGATCAATTTTTACATCATTGCAAAAAGACAGAGAAGCATATTCCATACATCTCCTGATGGAAGTGCATGAAGTAGTACCAAAAAAGACAGCCTTGAAGTCACTGTACCTAACCAACCAGCACATGGAAATACAGGGCAGAAACACACACTGAACATCACGGGTGTCTACTAGGAAGATCGATCTGACTTGCAAAATCTCTCATGTTCCAGATTTTCCTAACTCAAGGAAACAAGAAGATTAAGAACCTCTAGATTAGAAAGGATTTAAAAAGATATCAACCTTGTGGTTGGGTCTAACACTTGACTAAAAAGTAAGAAACATCTGCTTTTATCCAAAGGGAAGGAAATTGGAACAAACCCTTTGATTAAATAAAGATATTCAGGGGCCGGTGGCACTGTGGTGCAGTAGGTTAATCTTCCACCTGAGGCGCAGACATCCCATAGGGGTGCCAGTCCTGGTCCCGGCTGCTCCTCTTCCCATCCAACTCTCCACTACGGCCTGGGAAAGCAGTAGAGATGGCCCAGGTCCTTGGGCCCCTGCACCCACATGAGAGACCAGGAAGAAGCTCCTGGCTCCTGGCTTCGGATCGGCGCAGCTCCGGCATTGCAGCCATCTGAGGAGTGAACCAGTGAACAGAAGAACTTTCTCTCTGTCTGCCCCTCTCACTGTCTGTAACTCTACCTCTCAAATAAATAAATAAAAAATCTTAAAAAAAAAAAAAAGAAATTCAGATGGCAAATAGGCACATGAAGAAATGTTCAACATGAGCAGCCATTAGGAAATGCTAATTAAGACACAACAGATCAAGCATACACCTACTAGAACGGCAGAAAAGCCCTTCTGAGAATGGTGAGCACTCATCTATTCAACTGTTCAGATATAAACAAAGGAAATACAATACCTGTTTCCCCTGGTAGTAATTCCCTTTGTTATATTTTTCCTTAATTTTATTCTATTAATGTTGATTATTATTTCTC